GGTATATATATATACATATATACTAACACAAATGTGGTAAAAGTGTATTAAAATAAAAAACAATATAGTAAAAACTCTCCACAATCTTGTATTATTATGCTTGGTAAAGTCTTTCGATATCACTTTAATGAAATGAGTAGAACGTACTACTCTACTTTAAAAATAGCCCATATCAAGCCACCTTCGGAAGACATTATAAGGCGAAGTGTATCTTCAGAATTGTAAAGCTCCGTGGAGCTATCTAACGAATCACTTAAGGTTGTCATGCTCATTTCTCGAGAATTCATCGATATAGGTTCGAAATCAGCTGTTTTTTCAGGGGTTTTAACCCCATCGTAATCATAAAGATGATGATCTTGATCTGCTAGAAGTGCCTCGGTATAGCTTTTTTCGTCAAGCAAAAGATTTGTCGGCTGGGGCCGTTTATTTTCCAATTCATTCTTTTTACCTGAAAAGGCATTCTTACACTTGTTGATGATTACCGATGGTACAAGATCAACTTGGCCAACTATGTAAATTTCACGTGAATATGGTGACAAAAGCTTGCTCATGGCAGGGTAGATGGCAGACGAACCCCGATCACGCACTATCTTGGCTTTATTGCCAATCCACTGGAAAAATATTAAGCATCTCTCCTCTTCCTGGGAGTTGAAGGAAATGTTGAACAAACCAAAGAGCCACTTGTCGTTAGGGAGGTTTTTTATTAACTCAAATATACCGCCACAACCGTAGGCCACCGTCTGTAGTGTTACAGGGTCTGGAGAAAAAACGGCCCAATTTACGATATTTTTCTCATTTCGAATGGCATTCAGAACTTTATTCGCAATATTGGTTGGATCATTATCATCTTGATCAATACCCTTTTCGAAAGCGGCCTTTTCTTTTTTACTACGTCTCGCTATCTGAGCCTGAATTGCCTTTAGTCGAGCGCTTTTTCGCTCGTGTTCCTGTTCTTGATACATTTTTGTTTTCTCATCCTCAAGTCGATTGAGATGCTCTTTACAGATCTTGTCTATCGAGAATTCTCCATCATCAACGGTAAATATTTCTCTAAATTGACTGACTAATGATTCGAAGGAAAGGGAGGATCGATCTGTAGTAGTTAAACCAGTAACCCCTTTCAGATGCTCACTCACAAACTTGCTGATTTTCTCAACACACCGCCCCCGCTTAAGCATATTGCACTTAGGTCCTGTATAAATCACATACAAATACTTGGTTCGCTTGAAGGTACCACCCCCGAGGAGAAATTTTACAAGAAATAACTGAACACTTGTCTCGTCTAAATTAGCCACTGCATCATTAATATCATTGGTCCCGCGGTGAACACAATTGATATACTCCATAGCGCCTGAGTAAATTAGGAGTTTACTCACACCCTTTTAGAGCTATATGTTTGGGGGTAGTATATAGAAAGAGATTTCTATATATGATAGGAATAGAATATAGGAAAAAAATTTAACTGTTGCAGATAACCAGATCAATGATGTAAAAAAAATAAAATAAAGTGTTTGTCAATATTTTTCCATTCACTTGTTTCCTCTCAATACTAATAATTAAACTTAATGAGTAAATTAGAAAAGAGTATTAAGGAAAGAAGGTTAGTAAAAAAAACAGTCCAAACTCCAGAGTCTCTACAAAAGTATAGAGACCATATTATGTGTCTTTTTATATTATTCAGTAAAAGTTATTATCCTTCGCGTTTTCAACAACTTATCCCTATAGTTTAAGTAATATTGATACTCTATGTAATATATATGAATTCATATACATATTTATCGATGAGCACTTAGGTACTTCACGAAGGTTAAGATAAAATTAAATACCATAACAACTTATTACGTCTGATCTTAGAACTCACTACTTCTTTCAAGATCTACTTTACTCGAAGACTGAAAGGCTTCTTCCACTTGTATCCCACTTCCGGCACATCTATTTTCTTGGTAATTATTTCCACAAACACATACACTCATTCCGGACGTCTAATTCGATAGATTTTTATTTAATAATAGATCATTATGCTATTGATTTCACCAAACAAAAAAAATTGATTTATTTTTCTCTTTTAAACTTGTCGCAATTTCAGTTTTTATGTGATATCGGATATACGTAAAAACTCATTCGACATAGAAAATATTCCCAAGCGATGGGATAATAAAAATGCACTTAATAAAGAATGCTTAGCTACTTTAGTAGGTCGGGTAATGCAGAAACAGTTCAACGTTCCAAAAAAGTGCCTAATTAAGAAGAGTCATCAGTCCTGTAGGCGGATACGCATATATATTTCTACTAATATAACTTCACACTTTCATTGAAATATTTTTATCAAGAAAAAAAAAGTATAAGAATTATTGGTTCTTACGCTGGAGCTCATCAAGCCTCGATTCAGCCACTCCCGAATAAGCATCAACATGTCGCACCTTTTGTTTTAACATTTCTCCCTTTGTGCGGAGAACTCCGATATATTCGTTAACATATCTGCTGGCAACCTGCAATTGATCGTGAATCAAGGGCTTATTTTTTTCATAAATAATTGGCCCTGAAAACGATATAATAGTAATCAGTAGGATGAAGGTGCTGTCACAGATGAAATTGCCAATATAAGCCACCACAAGGGATGTCGCGAAAACCTTCCCCGAGACCATCACGTCGCGCCAGATCACCACATCTACAAAAACGCCCAAAACCTTCGCTGCGTAGGGCCGAATCGACTCATATACCGCGTCCATACAACCAGTTAAGTCAGAGGACACCAGACTGTGTTTTGTGGCGGTAGCGGCTGCGCCTAAAAGGAATATAATTTGGATGCACCGACACATAAAAGTCAAGATTGTGTACTGCCAATACACAAAAATAAGCCAAAAGCTGAGAATGGTACCCAGTACGATACCTGTAGCCATAGGTCTGCGCCAGGCTATAATTTCATAGACAGTGGCGTTCTCGAAAAGGTTAAGAATACCGAACATGCCTGAGGAGTTTTTTTTTTTAATAAATATATATGTATATATCCAAACGGGTGGGAAATATAAAAAGGTACTCGAGGAGTGCAAAGATAAAAAAAGTTGCGATTGTATCTAATGAAGAAAGATAAAATATAAAAGGAATGATAAAGTCTAACATAAGTGATGGTGCATGCGCGGAGATAAATACGGCTCAATTAAACCGATTGCAATTTTTAAATAATACAAACCCCCCAAAAAAGTGGGATTTTCTCTAGCTTTTAGAAATGTATTTACTGTACTGCATTTTGATATTGGTTATAAACAAAATTAAAAAGCATGCTTATGGGTTGCACAGAAACCACCACAGAGCCAGAGCCTTTTATTCCCCCCATACGTTTGCAGTAAACATCACCCTCGATCTCGCTGTTTACGTCATCCATTTATCCATACGAACCCCATACATTGTCGCCGCCATTTTACACCCCGATGGCACCATAAAGAAAGTGTTAAGATGCCACTCATGGTGTAGCCTCTAGTGAAGATTGGATAAAAGGAGAGAAGTCTAGTTGTCGCACGGAGTTTCACATAAGGTCTCAAAAGGTAAGTCACATTCGAGCGTTCAGTAGGAGGAGGGAACACTGAACGCTTTTCAATTTATCCAGTCATATGGCAGATTCTATGAAACATTAGAATATTCTAAGAAAAACCCCGATATAATAAGGAACGGGAATAGAAAAAAAAATGAAGGATGTGTCGAGATTGATTAACACTTCTGTAAATCAATGGTTTGGACCAAAAATATTTCCTTTTCCTACTTGAAGTTTTCAACGCTGAAGGCATCCAAAAAAAAAAAAGTAAGTTGGCAGAAACAGTTACACTAAACTTTGGGCTCTACAAAGGCCCCTTTTACTTCTTTTGTGTTGGTAAGACCTAGTTGCTCTTCCTATTTATAGTAATTTTGTTTCTTTATTTTCCTCCAAGTTTTTTTTGGAATAAAAGAATAGAAAATTCTATCCTTCAGATTCACCAAAAAGAACCTCACTGTGAATTTTTGGTTTCTCTTAGATGCTGCACGAGTCTTCAGAAATTTAGAGCTTATGGTATTGTTTCCCATTCTCATTTTTGACCGTCTTCCCAACAAAGAGAATTAAGCCCTTACCCACCACCAACATCATCAAAAAAAAAAAGAGGGCGAACGAAGCTTCCTGTTGTGCCTAAAAGATTACAGGCCAATGAAAAATACACACACATCTCAGCGTTTTAAACTACACTGCTGTGAAATTCAATGTATATATATATATAGGTGTGCTTGTTTGCCAATTTCGAGCTTTCCTTTGATACAAAGCGATAACAGTTATGTTTCCCTCTCTAATGAGCTCCACGGCCGCGGCCGCGGCCACGAGCTCGGGTGGCTCCGTACGGACTAAAGCCCATTCCACTGCCCATCATCGAGGCTAGCATCGCGACGGCAGTCATGGCCGCCGCCCCGCGGCCGCCGCCTCTGCCCCCCCTGATCCCCATGCCGCGCTGGAAGGCAGGTACGTTATCACGTTTTGGGGCCACTTTCAGAGGCTTCCCGTGGAGTGCCTGGCCGTCTTTCAGGATAGCTGCCTGCGCCTGCTCCTGGGTCTCAAATTCGATGTAGGCAGTCCCCTTGGGCTGTCCGGTGTGGCGGTCCTTTAGCAACGTCAGACGCACCACGGTACCGCAAGAGACGAAAAAGACGCGAATGTCCGCCTCCGTCGTTCGGGCATCAAATCCGGCGACGAAAACGGATGGGTTTCCCCTCCCTGCTCCCCCCCCAGCGGAGACGGACGCAGTCGAGATGGTCGTCTTGCGTGTGCCCTCTTCCCTGGCGGCGTTGTCCTGCAGGGCTTTAAGCTGTAGATCCTCCTGAAGGCTTTCTACTTGGAGCCGCATTTCTTCCAATTCGGCATCCACATCAGTGTCGGTAACGAACTGAATATCATTGCTTCCATCTTTTAAACCGCTCATTATTATTCTCTCCTTCGATTCTTGTTAAATTGAGTATTTACTTATTTATCGAATTATAAAGTTAACCTTATTGTCACCTGACACGCACAAAGAAAGCATGTTGTGACAAGGGAAAAGAGAAAGCAAGTGAAACGTTTTTCTTGTCTTTGGCACACCGAGCCTGAGATTCACTTTCTTGGACTACTGCATGAAAATGTGAACATTGAAGTATTAAAAGGGCAATATTATATAGATTTACACATTGGTTCATCTATATGTATTAGAATATGTGAAATGCGCGTTACGTGACGGTGAATACAGCACCCGTACTAAAATATCAATCGATATTTCTTGATAGAGGTCCCTAGGCATGAATAGTCTTTCAACACCGAAGTTCTTAAAAAATAAATAATTGAGAAAACTTCACTAGCGTCGAAAATCGATTATTCGTCTGTATGCAATTCGAAAGATGCGGGCCAATTATTGTTTCATTTTGTATCCAAATTTATAAAGAATATGTGTGTTTATATAATCCGATTTGGGCCATATGTCGATAAAAGAAATAGAATAACTTCATATACGAGAAAAGACCTCTTTATGTTGTAGATCCTAATGATCGCCATTCTGGTTAGCAATTCAAATCCATACTTTTGGAATAATACTAGAAAACATGCAGGGAACGTTCAGATGTCCTAATTTCAACGACATGATACCAAGGGTTGGATAAATTCATCTTCTCAGGGTTTGTTATCTTCAGATATTCCAAGGCTATACCTTTTATATTTAAGCATAAGGATCCTTCTCTAGATAGCTCACGCACTCACATTATTGAAATAAGTGACACCTTGATATTCGCAAGCAACGTCAAAAGATATGACAGCTTTCTAGTATGCACGTATTTCTTATCCTAAACTAATTATAATGAAAGCTCAAGGCGTGAGGTGCATTGCGACAAATCCTAAGAAAATCCTTCAGTAGAGGTTTGAATAGACTGAAGTAAATGTAACGATAGAAATTTCTTTTTTTTATCTGCCTTTCTACCAAAATATCTATGTGTAATATTATTAAGCGAGGTTCCCTAGACCATTAAGGTGTCCAACAAAGGAGTTTAAAATATGATAAATTAAACTGAAGAGTTAATCATTTGCTCATTCAGATTTTAAATTGTCATTGAATGAGCCGTAACTTGGAAATTTAAATAGGAAACCAATCCCATCTTATGTAGATAGTGTCCATGCAATGATAGCGATGTGTTGACGCACTACCCCTTATCTATAATGACACACACGCGCGAGGAAAAGCAGGTTCTCGGTATACGATTAGCATTTAAGGGTCAGAACGAAAAGAGCAACGTGATTGTCCTTCTTTCATAATGCACAAAAAGATGCACAACTGCAAATTCACGTAACAGGAATCACAAAAACATGCATGGTATTTCATCTATTCTAGACAGAGCATATCGCGTTCCCGATATCTAAAAGCTGCAAGTAGTCATTGCAGCCATCTGAAAGCCGCTTTTCAACCTCACAAAGTTTTAACATGATATTTCCGCGCTGCACTGAATTCAAAGGACATTCATGACTGACAAGATAGCGATGGAGCTGAGCGAGCACCTGTGTGGCGGAAAAGCCCTGCGCGACGACGCCACTGGTTTGGTGAACAATATCATCCCTATCTTTCTGTAGAAGGGCCTCGATAAAGGGTTTGAAGACCTCCGGCGGTAGGGTACCCGAGCAAGATACAAAGTCCTCATTGCTTAGGTCCAGGCCGCGTGCTTTGTGAGCGGATTGCAGGTACATAATTGCAGTTCGCATATCTCCCTCACTTACCCTGTCGAGAGCCTCAAGCGAGAAGTCGGAGAGCGTGATCCCCTCCGCCGCGGCAACCTGACGGATGCGAGTGTAAAGTGTTTCTTTGATTAACGGACGGAAACGGAACTTTGCGCAACGACTTGCGATGGGGTCAATAATCCGGCTGACGTAATTACATAGGATGCAAAAACGGGTTACTTCACTGAAGTCCTCCATCATTCGACGCAAGGCGGCTTGTGCGTCCGGCAAAAGAGCATCGGCTTCATCTAAAATGATAAATTTAAAAGGAGGAACAGGGTAGATCTTGCCATCGGATTGTACAGTTTTGCGAGAGACGTTACCGACTGCGGACTGTGCAAACACCTTAATCTTTTCACGAACCACACTTATACCGCGATCGTCAGACGCATTAAGCTCCCGTACGCGACTGGATATGTAATCGGGTCCAAAAAGATCATGTGCAACGGCAAGAATTGCAGTTGTCTTACCAGTCCCAGGTGGTCCATAGAATAAAAAATGGGGCACCATAGCACCATCACACAAACAAGTACGTAAGGCGCTGATTACACTATCTTGGGATTGCACCTCGTCCAAGGTTTGTGGACGATATTTTTCGACCCACGGCAATACAGAGCTGGAATCTGCGTGTGGCGTCGGGACTGCCTCGCTTTTGATGCGCTTGTTATGAGGTTCCACGTTGAGACTCATTTCTATGATGATTTTGCCAGGTTATACACTCACTCCTTTCACCCTTTTTCAGCTAAAGTAGACAGGTCACTATCAGTTTGTAAACTTTCCTACTTTATGCCTAAAAAGTGGTATTTCCTGAGTTAGTGACAACCAAAAATAATAATACTTAGAAGCAGATGGAAAAAAAAAAGGATAAAGACACGTATTACATGGTAGAATAAAATTGATGCCTTCACAGCCTAAAAAAGAAATGCGGACACATCACCTTATGGAAATAAAATATACTTACAATATATGTATGCAGGATCTAAAATGAATAGATGCATACAATACAAATATGGAATTGAAGGTGGATCATGGTCCCTTTAAAAGTTAAATGCAATATTACAACAACTAATATAAAATATAAAGTTGTGACAAATAGTATTGTAATTGTAACATAACAGAGCGGCAAATGAAAATCCTATAAATTGCAAATCATCTTAAATCCTCATGATTTTTTTCTCGGGGCTTTGGTACCTTTAGTTTTTGTTTAAGAGTATTGCTCAGGTGAGGTTCCGGATGTTCAGTTTGCTTCCCATGCGTGTTATCACCATGAGCGACACTACCCTTGGATATTGTACCATCAACATTGTAGCCCACATCGCCGCCACACACGGTAGTATGTAATAACGAAAGTGGAATAATGCGCATATGGGCTTTAGCACCACTGCCTGATAGTCTCTGTCTAATATTTAGTACATCTGAGAAGTCCATTGATGTATGTTCACTCGGGATGTGATTAAAAGAAAGGAGTTTTGGATCCAGTAAGGTAAAACTCGTGGCGCTTTGGCTAGGTATATTATCCGCTTTTGTTTGCCTAAACGTTTTTTTCATCGCTATCGGTTCCGGTAATGCCGTGGCACTTCGTTTAGGCATCGCCAACACAAATCTCATTTGCTCAGCTGATGAAATTTGGCGTCTTCTAGACTCTTCATCTGTTTCAGGCAAAGTTGGATCAGTATTATAGGTATCACGCCTTCCCATAGACTGTTTTGAACGATAGTTTGGAAAGGAATCTGCTGAATCAGTTATGATTGCCTCAGTCGTATGTGTTTTTCTTTTCTTTATAATATCCGGTAGACGTATTTGATTGATTGAAGAAGCCTGGACTCGACTATCATAGGAAGCAAGGTGACACAATGGATGCTGAGAGTGAAGGCTCCCTGCATCCACTCTCAATTGGTGGGGACTCGAACAAGGCTTGAGCGCAACCTCGGGATCGAACAACGCGGTAGGACGTGCAGGAAAGATCTCGTTGCGAGGTCCAAACAGTGTTTTCTCTAGCTCTCTAGGAGAATTTAGCAAGGGCTGTAACTCCTTCTTCTCCTGATGCATGAGTCGCAATGTTCTCTCCTCGATATTCAGCTCAACATGGCAAATCGCACTGAGAACGATGCAGAGTGCCCGAGACATTTTTCGGATCCTTGTATCGCCAATAAGAACGTACTTTTGTGCGGGTTCGGCCAGCAAGCAGCCAAGCCGCCCAATGGCCGCCGGCTCATGAGCCGAGACGACGCTCAAGACGAGGTAGCCTAGGCACTTGCGCCGCAGCTCCGCCTGAGCGCCCTTGTCCAGCGCGGCGAGGATGGCGCGCACGATGGCTATATGCGCCGCACTGCAGAGGACCATCTCCCGCAGCGCGAGGTCGGCCGCGGTGGAGATGGCGACAACTGTGACAAAAACCCGCCTCGCGAGGGCGGCGGCCCAGAGGCCGAGGGTGGGGCCGAGGGCGGCCGGCAGGTCCGGGGCGGGCCCCAGGCTCCCCATTATCCGCTGCACGAAGACCATCGCGGCCTCACAGCCTAGCCGGCACAGCGAGGAGCGCATCTCGGCAATTAAAGTGTCGAGGCAGGGCGTGAGAACCGCGAGGAGGCGCGGGAGCTGCGCCGTGAGGAGACCGGACGGGGCGCCGGCGATCCAGTCCACGATGGCGTTGGCGCAGCGCAGGCGCTCGCCCGCAACCCGGCCGACGTCCCCGGAGACACCACATCGCGCCGCCAGAGCCTCCACGAAACTGGCGGGCGACGACGGCGGCGTCCCCGAGTCTTTGGGCAAGAATGCGGAGCTCGGAAAGACGCTGCTGGATGCCCCACTCGAGGACACCGTGAGCTCCACCCCTGTCTTCGAATCGCTCTGGCTGTGAAGCATCGAGACGAGTGCGTCGGCCCTTTCTGCAACGAATAAAGAAAACATCGTTTGTACCTCCCCACCCGAACTGTTGTAGATGAAGTCCAAGTATTCCATGGCCTCTGTAATCGATTTTTCGACCTTTTGAAGATCATTCGCGTCCTCGACCTTCATGCGGTACACATTTCGAACTGCATTAGCGAGTTCAACATAACTCATAAGATCGTCATGAGGTACTGATTTCCGAATTTTGTATTCAATTTTAGTGGACTTCTCAGGTGCTAAAACTTTGGCCTGGCGCATTCGTATTGCATCATCACGTTGCAGACGGCTAGCGTTTGACGCTCCATTTCCACCTAAATATATTAGACACTGGAAAACTGCATCGGCCTCAACGAGCAATTTCCGTGCTAATTGTTTGAGTCTATTCAAAAAATTCTGATATTTCTGAAAACTTTGATGAAGTTCAAACATCATTTCAGGTGTCTTCGGTACCCTTCGGAGGGTGGTGTGCAGCTCCATTTGCCTCTTCAACAGCGTATCAATATCCATTCTTGAGGTGGTGCCAAACCTGAAATATCTCAAGACGAATTTGGTGATCGAATACCGCTATTTATTTCAAGAAGAAAGGAAAAAACGAACCCCACACCTGCTCAGTTGAGTAAGGTGACGAAATAACGCACTAGTACTCTAAAAACAGTGAAAACAAGAAAGATAAAGCAGACACATAGTCACACTAAACCAAAAGTGGCCCACTGATAAAACCTTTTCGTTGCATTCCCTTTTGGCAACTATCGCGTCCAAATCGAGTTCTGAAGACAAACATATAAATATATAGAGAAAAAACGGGGCAAAATCGCTTTAGCCGCAAGCGCTTAAAAACACTGCGATAGTACCATCAACCCTTCACGAACAAAAAAAAGAGAGCGAACGACAATCCGCATTTATTCCTCGAAACGATGAGCTATAATATATTGCGTGAGTGGAAATGCAATCGCTACAACATCACCGCTGTAGGACAAAACACGATCAGATTGAATCTCATCACACATTATAAAAGTTGGCGAAACCTCCACACAGGCTTCACGAGAGCGTATCTGGGCTTGAATATAGGGTAAATAGCGGTCTAAAACCTCCCTTTTCGGTATATCGCTTGAAAAATCAGCCACAGTGGGGAAAAGACGATTTGCCATTTGCGCCCTTCTAAATGCTTCAGACAAGCAGTCCATATCAATGGAGTCCTCATACTGAGAAAGCCCTTGCATTTACCATTGAAAACTAGGCTTTACTTTGAGCAATAAGTCTGAAGAGACATATAGGAAGAAATAATAAGAAGTTTTTCATTTTTTTATGGGGATAGTTTTCTATATTGGTAATATTTTCAGATGAAACCAAAAACTATATACATAGTTTTCAAGGACAAATATTTTATCCCGGCTATGAATAACCGCTTCAATACATCATAAAACAAGGGTTAGGAAATGAAACACCACCTCACAACATTTATTTGCTTTTTCTTCCCCCAAATAAAGCCAAATGCACTCATTAAAGGGAATAAATAAGAATTTAAATTCAAAAAATACAAATAAAAGTAGTGATCTTTTTATGATATCCTTCAGATAAGCGTCATCTTTAGAAGAGCATCGTTGATTTTATATTGTTTACAAAATCTTTAGGCTATAGTATCTTGAGAAAACTCAACATGTGTGGGCATGGATAAAGTCTGAGCATCATTAGCAGCGGGGGTTCCAGTTGTCTTCTGTTCTACAATAATTCCATCGGCAACTGGCGTTGCCATCTCTTCGCTACCGGATATCGCTGCGGAATAGGGCACCGACCGTTCATTGATGGCCTCCTCAACATTTTCCCACACAAGCTCATTATCCACAGTGGAACCTTTACTGTGAACCATCAGTAATACCGTGCCATCTTGATCGATACCGCAGCTCTCCAAGCTCAAGTAGTCGTCTAAGTTCTGCCTCTCCAAGTATAGCCGTATTTTATAAAAGATTCTCCCTGTCAGCTTCTCGATACGCTCCTTGATAACCTGAACGGTGTCCTGGTGAAAGTCGCAATGAAGAAAGATGGTGAGTCCGTGGCGCTTCAAACGCAGGTAGTTTGGTGGGATGGAGGTCATACAGTTTGTAGTGTTGTGCCCTTTTGTTTCAAGTTCCGATTTCTCTTTTACTGATAATCTAATAAGACAAATGCGACGTCCAACAAGTCGCTAAGAAATATAACACGCAGACCATATCAAAAAAAAGTATAGACATGAAAAGAAAGAAAAAAATGATATGGGTACCATAAATAACGAAAACAACTACACTAGGATCAAGGACGACAAAAAGAGTAACAAATAAAGTGACTCTTTCTTTATGATAAGTTAGAAAAAGATGAATAAAGACAGTAGTTGTAGTAGAAGTCAAATAGTGTTGAAAAAGTACTAGTAACTTGAAAATATCAAAAGTAAGAATAACTAAATACTAGTCATCAAACTCCTTATTCTGAATATACTTAGCAAAGTTATAATCAGAATCGCGCAACATCTTCCTGGCATATGCACCACGCCGACGATATGGGTTGCCCATATCAAGTACCACTCGATTAACACCCTGTTGCACCTCTTTTTCACGACCAATCGGTGCGTTCAGTTCGTACTTAAAGTCTCTATATACTTGATGAATAGTGGGAGAGTAGCGAAGAAGTTCATCAGGAGTGGGCGCGTTAGTGAGAACACTGGCTCGTCGCATCCAATGGCCACGCATCGTGTGGATACGACCTGCAAAGTCACGCATATTGAAGAATTTTTTATCAATCATTTCCTTGCGTAACTGTAGGGCACGGATTACACCTTCGTGGTCCTCGTTACGGCGGTAAAACTGCTCGGCACGCGCCATGCATTGGTCCAGAATAGCGAATGTGCGATCATAGTCGAATGGGGAGTAATATCTAAATTTCTCCTCAAAGTTTAGATGGAAGCGACGACCGAGACGCGGTAGAAGGCGTAGCATCCGGTGCGACTCCCCGAAGCGATGATATAAGTTCGCCACTGTCATCGCTTCTTCGTACGTGGCACCGGCTTCCCTATCGTTCATCGCCTCTTTTGTCAAACCCATCTCCAAAAGCGCCTCCACTATTAGCTCCAAGGTCGGCATTTCAGACCGATCTAAGAGGTTTAATGCCCTTCGTAAGTTGGCTTCACTGCTCTCGAGTCTAGAAGTGCGCCGAAATGCACCGGCAAGTTTGAGAAGAATACCCACCTGCTTAGAATGGGTCTCTGGATATGCAAGTTGATAAGCCTTGGCCACCACCCCGTAGTGCTCAAGAGCTTCTTGGTGCAAGTTACCCTCCGTAAGGTAATCGCCCTGAAGTTCCAGCTTCGCGACCTGACCCAACGGCACGTAGGGGCGACGCAACACGGACAGCTTGACATCAGAGTCCCCACTTTGTGCTCGCTGATGATCCAGATTGACCTGCACAAGATCCGTTTGGCCGGCGCTGTCCCACGAAACCGCGTCCGTTTCCTCCATCCTTTCCGGCGCCGGTGTGGGGAGAACTTCAGCCACCGCCGAGGGCCCTTTGGAAGCGGTCGACGCGGTCACCCCGCGCGGAAGACACTGCTGGATTGGGACGAGTTGGTTAGGGAATAAATCAGCGGTGTAGTATGAAGAGTAGATTCTAGTCAGACGCCGGCGGGGCTCCAAAAGGCTGCCGAACATCGCCGGCCTTCTCCTTGGTAACACACGGCCACTTAGTCGAAAGGACATGTATTTTTTGTCCAAAATCGTCTTAGGTGTCTCTAAAGAATGAAAACCAGTGTCGAACCGTATCGACCGATCGGACTAAAACGAAAAAATATATAAGCACCGATAAAGCAACTTCATGCACTTAAAAGAAAAACACTGGATAGTAAAAGAGAATAGTGCAAATAAAAGTTCTCCAATTAGCAATAAAGCGATTCGCTAACAATTCGCAAAGGTTGTGAAAGTGATTAGAATAGTGGAATTAACAATATCGCTGAGAAGTGAAAAAGTTGTAACACTAAATAGAATAACCGTTCGACTAATTTTTTTTAAAAATGCTTTATAAAAAATTTAGGGCATCTAGAACAACGGTTAGATAAATCCCTAGTAGATGTATGTGTTATGCTCGTCAAGGGCACTGTAATCCCCGCCATGCCCACGTGTATCCCGTCCCGTAAGACGCCACCACATGATCTTCACGCACTGGACACAGCCCAAAAAGAGAGTCGAATGTGGGATCATGCTTGGAAACTCCGTATGGCCTTGTTGGTACCGGTGGTAGCTGCCCAGTATCATATACGCGATAAAAAGAAAGGCTGCAAAGGTCATGAAAGGCCAGAAAAAGCTCCGCTTCGAGGCTTGACCTGGCGTGTTAGTGGACGGCGCGTCGGGGGGGAGGGGAGGGGGGGGGGAGGGGGTTTGCGAGCACTGTCCGGATGGACACCGGCAAATAGGGGGTTGCCTGGCCGAGCGGGTTCGCCTTGCTGTCCGGTGTGACGGAGAAGGTGATCAAACGGGAGGGCGGGGCCTCAATCGGGTCGCCAGAGCGGTGGGGGTCCCATTTCATGCCGTCCGGGCTGGGCATGTTAAAATCGTGAGGGGTGGGCGTCAGCCCCGTCGTGACGTCGATGGTGGCCTTAGAGTAGCCATCAGGAAGCTGAGCCTTGAAGAAAACGGTAGATAGAATGGGATTGGCGTTCGCCCCTGGATTAAGAATGGTGGGCAAGGGCGCCATAAAGGCATTTTGAGGAGACACTTCGATAAAGCATGTGGGTCTATTCGCTTGAAAGCTTAAAAATCGGAATGGAGCCGGACCGTCCGGGCGCAAACGCTGAACACTGATATTCAGTTTAGACGGTGATGCCACGTCAGACAGGATGATTATACCGTATCCATCAGATACCCTCATTACCTGTTTTCCGGATGTAGACTGATACGACACATTTAACTCAATCCAGTTGGATGTGGTAAATTTAGAGTCCATTTCAAAGGATTGTGCAATAAGTACAACGGCCTCAGTAGTGCTTGTACCGTATTGGATAGGAATTTCAAGGTTGCTATTGTATTCGCCAGCAAAGCCATGCACTTCATCGCACATGGAAGTACTTAATACTTCTGCTGAAGTTAAATTTATGAACCATCCTTGAATAAAAAAGCAAGCAAGCGCAACTAACACGACAAATTTCCACACCATAAGCTTAGATTTCCTTCCTAAAGTTTCTAACTGTAATACTAATAGAAGAGCAACTAAAAAGGGAGTTAAAAATGATAATTTATAGTGTGAAGCGATCTTTTTTTTGACTATTATTTAAGGTTGAATGGGACACCATATCTGTATAGATATCGATCGATACATTCGTTTATTTAAGGCATAATGAATGAAAAGGAAATGCGCAATCAGTCTGTACGTGTTTTGTGTTAGGTTAGTGATGAAAAGATAGCCATGTCATGGAATTAAAAAGAAGGATAAAATAGATTAGTACTTGAAAAACTCAGGAACGGGGATGTATTTGTAAGTACTTGAACTAACGTAATAATTATTCTCATTTTTTTTTTGAAATCCTGTTCCTTATGATTAAAGCATGATGTGACTAAAAGTCATCTAATAGAGTAAAACCACAATTGAAAACACATAGAATCAGGAATGCTCGCGGAGCATGTTATCTGTATTCACGTCCTTTTTTTCTGGCGTTCTACCAAAAGGAGATAACAGAAGGCGCCTTGCGCACAGCTTCACTTCCTCCACACACTCCACTCGTTGGAGATGCTCCTTTTCCGTGATCTGATCCATTTCACATAATCGTTTCGAAAGTAAGACATTCATCTCCTTACAAACTCTAACATTTTCTACAGTGTCCTCTAGGCGAGTCCGTAAATCTACTAGTGCATCAGTGCGCCGCCTCATAAGTTGGCTAAAATAGGTTTTGTCCCTTCTGAATCCATCCATGAAAACCTTTCTAATGTGTTGCTCGTTGTCTAACTCTTTTTCATTAATGTTATGTACCCCCATAACTTTTCGAGAGAAATCTACATGTCCTACTATTCCAGTAGTTATTGGATCCCCTCCTCTTTGTCTTATATGTACGCCTACACTTTCGTCCGAAGGGCGCGCGTCAAGAGATTCAAACTTTGAGATGCCCGAGATACGAGACCTGTCTTGAGCCGGTGAGCTGAGCTGAGAGTGATTGCCAAGATCCCTACGCTTGGGAATCGAACTGACATCTAAAGCGTTTCCTTTGAGTAAATGAGTTTCCATTGAGGAAAATTTCAATTCGGTTGTGTCACTGTCTTCCTCAGTAAAGTTTTGAGGGCTTTCTAGTTTTAGATACGAAACTGGGACAAATCCCTGCCTGTCGGGCTCGCTAAAGACTTCAGCCCTTACCCAACCATCCTGAATAGTGGAATCAATCAAGCGAAGACGCTCGCCCCTCTCAACAGAAAGCTCTACTTTTTCTTCCGCTGTAAAATCATACAGTACTTGATAATAGTGTGAAGCATCTCCTCCCATTTGCTGTAGGTGTCGAGTTAAACTTCTATTATTAAGAACTAATTATTGGCAGATCAAAGTTACATAAACACTTTGACCCCTATAAAAAAACAAGAATCGGACTGAAAAAGCTCATAACTATCCTCTTACGCCCAAGCCTTCAGCAACAGAATGAGTGTAGAATCATCTATCTTCTAGTCTAAGTAATAACACTCAAAAATTAATTGGCGAATTCACTAAATATGAAAAGTCTACACAATCACATAGATACATATATATATATATTGATATAGATATAGATATTTATATACGACTATTTTGAATTCAACCGATAAAACATTTAGATTCATATGTACTGAGAAAATTATATACATTTCATCATAGCAAGAAGAATAAAGTTAATTAAAAAAAACTTAGGGTTGTGGTGACAGAAATAATAACAACTTTGAAAGCAATGTTAAAAAAAAAAATCAATGGCTATATTGGGTTGCGTCAACTTACTTTATAGACCAAATTAAATGAAACCCTTTTCGATTCAAAACTCTAATGTTAGAAAATAATCTTATAGCGTTCCTTCCAGAAAGCAAAGACATTTTAAGGAGCGGTTTAAGGCGGGATCTGCCCAATAGGAAACTGGAGTAGAGACTGGATCGCTAAGATTTAAGGTATCGTAGACATCTTGTAGGCGCTGCCGCCAGTACGGCCCTCGTCGCTCCAACCCCTGGTTCGAATGCGGCATCACCTTGCCACGTAAAAAAATGCGATCAGTAGTCTCCCTGGCAGTATAATTTTTTTCAAGGTTGGCAAGTGCTAATTGCGATCTGGTGGCCTTTCCGTTGCCACCAAAAAAGATGGCATCCGAGCTCGAAGTTGGAATGGAAACTTTTCGTGGACGATTGAAGGTATCAAGACCTCGCATAAATGAGCCATTCTGTAAACTGGGAAGATTCCTTATAGCAGAAAATTTATTGAACATGCCATCTCCCAACAGCGCGTCGTTGCTTGGCGAACCCAACGGCGTGACCTCATGTCGCACAAGTGCCTTGGTGTTGTCCTCAAGCTCCAAATGGTTCACGTCTTTGGCTAGACGCAAATTCCGACGCAGCAACACTTTTGCGCGATTTAGCACCCCAAACCCAACCGTAAAGGGTAGCTCGAGGTGTTCGAGTGTGGTATTGGACTCGAGTGCCTTAAGAAGGACTTTCGCGCTCTTAGGGTTAATTTTAGTGCCGGACAGTCGTAAATCCAGTATGTTAGCGACCTGCAGAAAGTGACAAAGCGCGTCAATACTTTTATCCGTAATACCATCGTTTTTGCTTAGATCCAGTAATAAAATCGGCACCTCACGCGCGCAAAGAGCAGGAACAAGCTGAAACGTGAACATTTTATCCGTAATACCACACGACCCAAGAGAAAAAGTTTTAAGAGAGTTTTTATCTTTAAAGATCGTACATAGCATAGAAGCAGATTCACTGTCAAGCGTGTTGTAAGAAAGGTCTAAGTGAAAAAAAAAACTATTGAGATGCAGTGCGTGACGTAAATGTTCCAGAACAGATGCGTCTACTGCACCATTTTGATGACTAAGGTCTATTCGATTAGACTGACGATCAACAATAGGCATTTCTAAGGAATCACTAGTAAGATAAAGTTAGGAAGAAAAGGGAGTTTAAATTAAAATAAAGAAGCGGTGGTACATTTTTATTGCTCCTTCATAAAATGGGGTTAACACCCGTACGCTTTAAAGACGCTTCATCGCGCTTTTGTGTGTATATATATTTTACTATAGAAAAGCTAAATACTTTGCTTTCTTTAGTCAAAATACAAAATCGACGGATCTTTTTTACAAGTCAAATAAATGCACACATAGGTATGTATACCAAGGCTTTGGAAATGCAACCAAGTAAGCCAAATAATAAAAAACACTGATCACATAAATGATATACGGCAAAAAAGAAACGGCTATGACATCACAGCCAATGATGGCAATTTTATACCATTGTAATCCCAATGGATCTCGCATGCTGTCTTCATTCTCCACCATTACTCTAGTATTTTTTCCCGACTATTCTAAATATCAGATAGAACTCACTTTTTGTTGAAATATTCGGTTTGAATAGCCTCGAAAAACCTATAATGAGTGTCAGGAATGACATAATCTTTCACTCAAACATGCTTGAAACACAGGAAGGTGAATGACCGCTGTCACCTTTTCTAGCTCGCTGTCAATGCAAAGCTCCTGATTCACTTCATTGTTTGTCGAATCCAGAGAATTGTACGATGCGTTTGTAAGCTCACCGACAAAAGGAGGCATACAGTCGAAAGCGACTTCTTCTTTCTCACTAAGTAATGATGACATCATGGCCTGGGTGTTCTTGGGGTGCAAACCGCCTATTTTCTGGCGAAGGGCTTTGGTAAGGACTGGAAGCTGTTGAGCGGACTCAATGTGCTCTGTACCATACACCGGCAACGGAGAAGAACTCTGCGAAGGGTTTTGGATGCTATTGTAGAAAGGAACCAACGCCCTGCTCATTG